TGTACGCTTCTAGGGTTTAGGGTTTAGGGTTTAGGGTTTAGGTTATGGGTTCTAGGGTTTAGGTTTTTTTATTTTTTTTTTATTATTAATGCATTTAGGGTTTATAGTTCGTTGTTGAGGGTTTCTGGCTTATTATTTGTTGCTTGTTGCCTACGGTTCGTTATCTAGGGTTTAGGGTTTAGGGTTTGTGTACTCAGAGATTTTTATTACGTCTTATAGCTTTGTTGAATGTTAGCCCAACCCTCCGTGGCATCAATGCCCGCGCTCTCGCCTTCCAGGTACCTCCCTAGCTAGCTAGCTAGGTAGCTAGCTAGCTAGCTGAGTAGCTAGGTAGCTAGCTAGCTGAATAGCTAGTTAGTTAGTTAGTTAGGTACCTAGTTGAATGTTCCCATCTCTCTAGTTCCATGATATCGGAAGGGTTTTGCTCTGAATTTTAGGGTTTAGGGTTTAGGGTTTAGGGTTTAGGGTTTAGGGTTTGGGGTGTATACGCAGCCATACTCTGGAGATGTGACGGTTTCTCCTCGTAAATTAAATTGGAGACATCTTAGATTAATGAATGATCAATCCTTAGATGATGTTGCTTGGTATCTAAACCCTAAACCCTAAACCCTAAACCCTAAACCCTAGCTAGAACTTAAACCCTAGAGAGTCTAACGCGAGACTATTTGCTGCGTTGGGTTGGGGTGGGGATACCACCATCTTGGGCAGTTGTTGGTGCTGCTGCTGCTGTTGCTGTTGGCTGGTTTTGCTGCCAGATAACGGCAAGCAACAAGGGGCTCAATGGGGGGTTTAGGGTTTAGGGTTTAGGGTTTACGATGTGTATGTATGCAGGTATGTACAAGAAGGGAGACTCATGGCTTTCCCCAAGCTACACCTCATCAGGTTCGTTGCTGCTATTGCTGCTGCTGTTGTTGTTGCTGCTGCTGCTAGATATACTTGTGCTGTTCCTGCTGCTAGACTTATCTTTGCTGCTGCTGCTGCTGCTGCTGCTGTGCGGTGTACGTGCAGCAACAGGATTCGTATTGAGAAGGCAATAGATCGTCTTGTTGCTGCAGTTAATGCAAAACACCCTCATTGCATTTCTGCTTAGTGCAGCAGCAGCAGCAGCAGCAGCAGCAACAATAATAATAGCAGCAACAGTAGCAACAACAATAACAACAGCAACAGCAGCAAAGCAGCAGCACAAGGCCCCTGTCCTGGCGTTACTGTACCAGGCTACCAACGGCAGCAGCTGCAGCAACACTAGCAGCAGCAGCAGCAACAACTGCAGCAACAACAGCAGCATGCGCCCTACGCATCTGCGTTGTCCCTTCTTCTTACTTGTCTTTTTGTTTATCTAATTAACTTTGTCATTTGATTAGATTTTTATTTGTTTATTTTAGGGTTTAGGGTTTAGGGTTTGAGGGTTTAGGGTTTGGAGGGTTTAGGGTTTGAGGGTTTAGGGTTTAACGAGGGTTTAGTAACACTTTTAAGGATTCAGTTTGTGGCCATAGACGGCCAAAAATAAATAACTGCAGCAACTGCTGCTGCTGCTTGAATTGCTGCTGCTGCTGCTGCTGCTGCTGCTATTGCTGCTGCTGCTGCTGCTGCTGCTGCTGCTATCTAAAACATTCTTATTCCCTTAAAGCCTCATTGGTGCTGCAACGTGCAGCGACGGTAAAGAAGCAGAAGGTCGCAGCATATGTTGCTGCTGTTGCTGCAGGTGCTGCTGCTGCTGCTGCAATTGCTGCTGCTGCTGCTGCTGCTGCTGCAGGAAGATGTGTTGTGCTGGCAGCTGGCTTGCGTGTCTTGGCTGCTGCTGCTGACCCTGGAGGTGCAGGTGTTGCATTTGCAGTGCTAAATGGTGCTGCTGCTGCTGTTGCTGCTGCTGCTGCTGTCTCGCCATCGCTTGCTGCTGCTGCTGCTGCTGCTGCTGCTGCTGCTGCTGCTGCTCTTGCTGCTTCTGCTTGGCAGAGGATCCCCCTCCCATCCAGCTAAGGACACCAGCAAGCCAGCCTCTTGTTCCATTCTTTTGCTGCTGCTGCTGCTGCTGCTGTTCTTGTTGTTGCTGCAGTTGCTGCTGCTGCTGTTGGTGCAACATTTGTTCTCTCTGCTGCATCATAATGAGCATTTGCTGCTGCTGTTGCTGTTGGTGTTGGTGTTGCTGATGAAGTTGTTGCTGCTGGGCTGCAGCAACAACAGCAGCAGGAACATTACCTCCAGCAGCAGCACTAGTAGCAGCAGGAGAAGGTGTTGCATGCTGTGAAGTTGTTGTTGCTGTAGGTACAGCAGCAGCATGTGCAGCAGCAGCAGCAGCAGCAGCATAACAATCAGCAAAGGCAGTAATACCATTAGGTAAACCCTGACGGTGTCTCCTTATATTTCTTTGCATCTCTTCTTCTTCTATCTCTTGTCTCTCTTTTATATGACGAATTATAAAATTATTAAAATCTTCTTCTCCTCCTACCGTAAATCGAGATAGAGGTACCCTTGAAAAAAAAAAAAAAAAAAAAAAAAAATT